TTTCAGGTCATTTTTATATATTTTATATCATTTTATACACATCTATGCTATAGGACCCTCTTTTTATTATTAATATTTCTTTTGCTTAGTTCCATGTTTAGCATATCTATTGCTTGTAGCAGGGTTTAGCCTTGCCTATTGGTGGGTTTATGGTAGGCTCTATCATGACCCTATTTTGGATTGTAAAAATATTGTATCAGAGCTTTAGGTTCATCGATCTTACCAGTACAAGAGCAAGTGCCTAGTAGACACTCGTAGATCTGTATGATGACGTTCGTATCCTATCTTTGAGAGGCTATTGGGTATTCTTTAGAATACTTCACTCTTCTTGTTCCTTATTATGCACTCTTGACTTCACCAACTTCTAAATTTTTTTGTTTCATTTTTTCTGAAATTTCAAGGATGAGATCATCAACGGCTGGGCGATTATATCATGTGCTTGCATATGGAGCTCCAACTACGGGTAGAGGCTGAGTTTGAGCTAGAGGTCGAGGTAGAGAATAGTCACCATCACTAGAGTCCGTTATCTAGGTAGAGTAGGTCCAGCGACAATTGGATAGTGTGGGGCCAGCCCAGTCTCCACTATGATTCATTGTCAAACCAGTCATTTAGGACACTTTGGCTAGGATCCTCCACTTTACATATGGTATGTCCCAAGATGGGAATTTACCTAGTACTTCGGTAGCCCTTAAGTTAGATATTAGGCATAGACTTTGACCCGGGTAGGGTCACACAGTTTTCAGGTACCAAAAGCATAACCTATATCTGTGTCTCTTCACTTAGCAGTGCCGAGAATTGTTTCGCCTGTGGCAGTTAGGCCGGTAATGTCTTCTAATGAGTAGAAGATATGGGATGGTTTACAGATTGAGTCCTCTTAGGTTTTCAAGTGCTTTGGGCGAGTATTCCCAGGAGATTCTTGTGATTTTTTAGGAGAGGTTGCATAACCACAGGTTGGTTGAGTTGCATGGTGTAGACTATAATGCTTTTTAGGTGGACGGGCCAATAAAGCCATGACAGAGATTTTATCTAGTTTGTAGGTCAATCGGGTCACCCCCGGTGACTTGGGCTCAATTCTCTAAGGTGTTCTTGGAGAAGTATGTACCTTGCAGCTTGATGGAGAGGTTGGGCCAATAAAGCAATGGCAGAGATTTTGTCTAGTTTGTAGGACAATCGGGTCACCCCTAGTGACTTTGGCTCAATTCTCCAAGGTGTTCTTGGAGAAGGATGTACCTTGCAGCTTGATGGAGAGGTTGTGAGATTTAGCAGATCTGCAACAGTGGCTGATTTTAGTTTCTAAGTATGACATAGGATTGCACGAGCTATCCAGTCATGCATCTATGATTATGATGGCAGAGCACAAGTGAGTGCACATATTTGTTAGAGGGTTGGCTTTAAGCCTTCAATTGTCTACAAACAAGATAGTGGAATTGGGCTGATCATTCCTTCAACTTGTAGACCATGTGCGAACCATTGAGGGTATATGTCATGAGGCCTATTGAGGAAAGAATAAGAGGCCCCACTATCAAGGTGGTTTTGTGGGTCTTAGTCCTATTGTACAGGTTTTTGGTGTAGAGGTTACCCACAACAATTTCATCATAGTAGGTTGATTTGGGTTGAACTGCAAATTATAGCTGGTAACTTAGTGGGTGGTAGTGGTTAGGCCAGTCAAACTTTAGTTCTAACTTATCAGGGTTTTCTTTTTGAGTATTTGGACCTTGGTAGTTAGTTGGGTCCAGTCAAGTCATCTAAGCAAGTTTCTTCTGGTAGGGGTTGTTATGAGTGTGGCAAGTTGGGCCACTTTGCTAGAGATTGCCCCACGATATGTCACCACAAGTGACTGGGTCAACAAATTTAGGTCCCTAAGGCTCCGGTACAATCGACCAGAGGTAGCGCACAAGGTAGTTGGGGTGGTCCCCATGGTACTAGAGGTTGTCCTCAGTTTGAGAGGTGGTGCGATCGAGGTGGATGCGGTAATATTTATGTCTTTCTCTGTAAGCAAGAGGTGGAGGATTTGGATGTCGTCATCAATGGTATGATCTCAGTCTCTCATCAACCTACTTTTGTTTTAATTTGGTGTCTACTTCTTCTTATGTATCTTCATATTATGCAATGCGTTTGGAGTTGTCTTGTCAACCTTTGCATGTGCCTTTGTATGTAACTACTATCGTAGGTGATTCTTTAGTAGTGGATAGAGTCTATAGATCATGTATGGTGTCCATCTTAGAGTATGCTACTTGGGCTACCCTATATTAGATATGGTAGATTATGACTTGATATTAGGCATGGATTCTCTCTACGTATCATGGGATCTTGGATTGCTTTTCTAAGACTGTTACCTTATGTATGCCTGGTAACCCTCTAATTATGTGGGCTGTTATTGATAGCCTCATGCCGAGGGGTGTGATTTCATTTTTGAGGATTCAGTGATTGGTAAGAAAGGAGTGTTTAGCTATCTTGCTTATGTTCGTGATACTAATGCCAACACTCCTTGCCTTTTGTCAGTTTTTGTTGTTTGAGTGTTTTCTGATGTGTTTCCTATCGACCTACCAAGTCTTCCTCCTAATCGTGACTTTGATTGCATCGTTGATGTTGATTTGGGCATGTAGCAAGTATTTATTGTACCTTATCAGATTGCTCCATATGAGTTAAGAGAGCTTAGGGAGAAATTCCAAGACATCATGAGTAAGGGGTTCATTAGGCCTAGTGTGTCTCTGTGAGGTTCTCATGTCCTATTAGTGAAATAGAAGAATTGTTCCTTGTGTATTTGCATTGACTATTGATAGCTAAATAAGGTAACCATCAAGAACATGTATCTGATGCCTGATATTTTTGAATTGTTTGACAAGTTTTATGATGTAGCAGTGTTATCTAAGATAGACTTGAGATAGGTCTACCACTACTTGAGGATTAGAGCTACAAACTTCCTAAAAACTTTTTTTTGGACTCGGTATGACCATTAATAGTTCCCAGTCATATCTTTTTGGTTGACTGATGCCTCAACAATGTTCATAGAGTTGATAAGTTATATGTTCATGACCTACTTGGAATCCTTTGTGATATTGTTCATTTATGACATTCTAGTCTACTCCAAGAGTATGAAGCAATATAAGCATCATTTGAGGATTGTACTTCAAACTTTGAGAGATTAGTAATTATATGCCAAGTTCACTAAATGTGAGATTTGGTTTCAGTCTGTGGCATTCTTAGGGTATGTGGTGTCCAAGGTTTAGATTATGTTAGACCTTGTGAAGTCTAGGCCTACTTCTCCTACCAATGTTCACAATTTTGTCGGGTTAGCAGGCTACTACAAATGGGTTGTGGAGAAATTTTCTTTGATTGCACCACCATTGACTAGATTGACCCACAAGAATATCCCTTTCTAGTGTTCTGGCGAATGTGAGGTGAGATTTTTGAAGATCAAGGCTTTTTTTACTTCAGCTTCGATGCTGACCCTTCCTATTAAGGGCCATGGTTTACCATCTACAATGATACTTCCTGTGTTGGCTTGGGTTCTATGTTGATGCAACAATCTAGAGTTATCAGATAAGCTTTCTACAATTGAAGATTCAGGAGAGGAACTACCCCACTCATGACTTAGAGTTGTGGTGGTAGTCTGCACGTTGAAGACTTGGATGAACTAACTGTATGGTGTTCATTATGAAGTCTTCACCAATCATCGCAGTCTTCAGTACATTTTAATCCAGAAGGACCTTAACTTGAAACAACGTAGGTGGCTTGGGTGACTAATGGACTTTGATGTTACAATTCTTTATCACCCAGGAGAGAAAAATGTGGTTGCATATGCCTTGAGCTAGAATGTGGTGAGTATGGAGAGTTTGAATTTCCTACTAGTAGATAGGAGACCTTGGCTTCAGAAATTTAGTCTTTAGCTAATTGAAAGGTTTAAATTGTTATTTGTAAGCCCAACAAGGTTCTTGCTTATGTGGAGGATATGTCTTCATTGATGGAGTAAATTTTGGAATAGCAGTTTAAGGATGCATGAGTGAGGGTTATTTGAGTTAAGGTGCTCAGCAGAGAGGCTGGGAAAGAAACCTTAGTTCCGAAGGGTGTTCTGAGCATTGAGGGTCACATCTGTTTTCCTAAATTTTGTGACTTGATTCAGTTGATTCTAGAGAAGTCTCATTGTTTTTTATACTATATACATCTACTTTAGTAAGGATGTATCATGATTTGAGGAAGAACTATTGCTTGTGTGGGATGAAGAGAGATAATGTAGAGTTCATGGCTAGGTGTTTGAACTGTCAGGAGGTGAAGTACGAATACTAGAGGATATGAGGTTTTACCCAACGTCTACCCGTTCTCAGCAGAAATGGAAGCGGATAGCGGTGGATACCATGGAAGGCTTTCCACTTACTTTTTGGAGAATTGATGTTATTTAGGTCATCATTGACTGATTGACCAAGTCTGCTCACTTTCTATTGGTTGAGGCTGTGTTAAGTTCAAAGAGGTTAGCTCATATCAATATTTGGGAGATTATTTGTTTGCATAGGGTGCTAGTGTATATAATTTTAGATTGTTGAACTTAACTTATTTCATGTTTTTAGAGGTCTACTTAGAGGGAGTTGGGTACCCAAGTTGAGCTTAGCACAACTTTCATCCACATGATGACTCTCAGTATGAGAGGACTATTTAGGTTTTGGAGGACATGCTTCAAGCTTGAGTCATTAATTTTGGAGGTCAGTACGACAGTTTTTAGACTTTCACATAGTTTTTGTATTAACAATAGATACCATTCGAGTATTCAAATGGCTCTATTTTATGTGTTTTATGGTAGAAGGTGTCGACATCCGATGGACTATTTTGATGCTTTTGAGGTTAGGTTTAGAGGTACCGACTTGTTACATTATTCTATGGATGATATTCGTATGATCTAGGAGAGGCTTTGTACTGAACAAAGTAGGTAGAATAGATATGTTGATTAGAGGGTGCGATCCTTGGAGTTCATGGTTGGCGATCGTGTATTTATGCGAGTGTCAACCATGAATGGAGTGATGAGATCCAGGAGGAAGGCAAAGCTTAGTCCTAGGTGTAGTGGTCTTTTTGAGATTTTAAGGCATATTGAAGAGGTGGCTTATGAGTTCTCCTTACGTCCAACACTTTCAGGTGTTCGCCCTGTGTTTTATGTCTTTATGTTGAGATGGTATGTTCCAAATAAGTCAAAGGGGCTTCAGTGGGATTCAGTGCAGTTGAATGATTTCTTAGGTTTTGAGGAGAAGCCTTTCGCTATTTTAGACAAACATGTTAGGAAGTTGAGGTCTAAGGAAATTCTATCAGTGAAGGTTTAGTAGATGAATCATCTAGTCGAGGAGGCTATTAGGGAAGCTAAGATTAATATGTTGACTAGATATCCTCACCTTTTCAAGCCTTCGAGTACTTTCTTTTATTTAACATTTGAGGATGAAAGTCCTTTTAGTAGTGGATATTGTAATGACCCTTGTGGTCATTTGCTTTCTTTCGAGTGATATCACTATTTTCCCCCTTCCATAGCTTATGAGTAGTATTTGTAATGTGTTGGGAGGTGATACGCTTCCCGAGGTGGTTGGGATATTTTTGGGTGAGTTTTCCCATTTTTGGGGCTTTTATGTTGAAAGAGTTGTGTTTGGTCAACATCTAGAGAATCTGAGGTTGAATGAGATCTCCATCAGTTCCATTAGCTTTGGAATGTCCAATTTGGGTTAGTAGCATGGTTGGTTTGGGTCTCAAGGCCTCCAACATAATTTTGAGTTTTTAGGCATGATTTTTTTTAAATTTTGCCAAGTGTTGACTTAACATGCTCGGATGAGAATCTATTAGCACAGTTAGGTACAGAATGTTGAGTTTGATCTTGAATGACCTTTAGTTTGGGTCCTAGGTTATTTGGATGTTTTAGTGTCATTTTGTGTAATTCTTGTTTTGGTTACCTCGGGTCACCATTTTATCAAGACAACATCCATTTGTTGTTTCATTGATTTCATTGAGTCTGGAATGTAAACTTTAGTAGGTTAGCATAGTTCGTTTGCATTCATGGGTTCCAAACGAATCTCGATTCCCAATTAGGGCATTTTCTCAACTTCAAGTTGAGATGATGCATCTGATTTTTGGTGCCATAAGCATTGTTCAGCGCATCCATGTGCTTGGATTCAAGTTCACGAAGACCAGTGCAGTGGTGTGAGTGATCGTGATCTAGGCGCTATGATCGAAAAGACCAACTTCCTTGGTCAATGCATTCGCAAATATTAACCATCGTGATTAAGGGTTAGTGAACCGGGTCAATATTTATGAATCACAATCACGACCCTTTGAGCCATGCAATCATTATGAATAACTAAGTATTAGTTAAATAAGTTCCTCAAAATCTCAGCATTCATAATTTATGAGACCAATTTCTCTTTTATGATCAAGAGCTCAAATTTGTAGATAAATCAGTGGGGATTGCTGGGAATTGTTGGTGGATAGTGTGGAAATTTATTGTAGGTGGTTAATCTTTCCTTTACCTTGTAAGTTCCGTTGATTTTCTTCTCTGAATTCCATTTTTTATCATTCTTGAGCTCACTCGTGGTGGGACTAATTTGGGCTCGGTCGATTCTCAGATTGTGCCTATTTGTGGGTCTCATATTCCTTAAGATGGTTGGGACCTTCTGATGGAGTCAATTCTATGATTCCACATGTGGGTCCCACGGTCCTATTTTGACTCAATTTTTGGGTCCAAATCTTTTCATGGCAAATTGGGTAGCATTTCGCTCGTCTTCATCACTAATTTGACAGATTAGCATCATTTGAAGGTTGCTGAGAAAGAAAAAGCTCCCGTAGTGGTTCAAGTGGGGTTTTTCCCTAAGGTAGGTTACGACTTCCTCCTAAGACTTGGCTCAATATAATTTATATAAATTGAGTAGCATTGATCGTTAGGAAGGTTTTAGGATGAGATTTTAGGTTTGTATGATCATTAGTTGTATTTTTGGCCAATTTTGAGATATTAGCCTAGCTTTTTAGCCGGGTTCCTTATATTAGGATTAGACTGAATCTTGGTTTACTTTATAGGGTCCTTAGAAAGCTTCTAGGTGGCGTGAAACTTAGGTTTATATGTGTTAATCAGTTTGGTATGATTATGTGCTTTTCTTTTAGTATTCCCAAGCTTTTACTTCATTATTATCTATTTGTTTTATTGAGCCCTTGGATTGGCTTGAGTTCCAAGTGAGTATGATTGTACTATGATAAGTGTCTACACAGTTGTTTGTGTGGTGTGATTGAATTGAGAATGGATTGATTGTGTGTTGGTATGCATTTGGCATTTTGAAATGAACTTTGAGTATGATTGTATTATTATCGATTATGTGTTGGTATGCATTTGGCATTTTGAACAACAAATAAGATAAAGGTGTCACTTAGAAACTTAGTTGACTTTATTAGTATTTCTACTCTTTTTGGGCTTTGTGGAAGTGTGTAATGATTTATATTTAAAGAAAGTTGGAATTTTGAAATGAAATGCACCAATTGCTTGAGGGAGAAGACTTGAGAGAGGAGAAATTTATTTTGGGTAAGTTAGGAGATAATGAGGGGTTAGATCCTTTAGGAAACACTGAAACCCACTTAAAATAGGCCAATACGACGTAGTATATGGACTAAAAGAGTACGAAAAGACTAAACCCCTGATTAAAAATTGAGAGAGGTCATCTACGGTTGCCCTCTATAGATCATACAACCATTTACAGACCATAAAAGGGTTCAAATAAGACAAGGGGAAATTCATGGGTAACAAAAGTTCAATTATACGGATCATTCTACGGTCCGCAGAAGATAGTATGGCGCATACAACTGCCCATAGAAGTTGAGTTTCCTGATTTCTAAAGTCTCTTTGTACCGACTAGCCTACAATTTGTAAAAGATTATACGACCCATAAAACTCTTCGTCCTGTTCAAGAAATTTTCCCATCTTTTTGAAGTCTGGTGTACGGCCAAGTGCATGGTCCGTGAAAACTTATATGGACAGTAAAATACCTCTTAATCCCTAGACCTGAAATCACTACTTATGAAGTCCAATAACCGTTGTATAGGCCGTAAAAGACACTTCCTGTAGACTTCAACATTTTCTAAACTCTTCCTAATCTGATTTGAGCTAGGCACTTTGGGGGTGTTGCAATATCTCCTCCTTGGGAACATTCGTCTTTGAATAGAGTCTAATAAAGATGAAAAGTGTGGGGAAAGATCTACAACCCAATTCGGAAAGGTAAATACATAAAATTTATTGAGTAACGGATTTCGAACTAAAACATAAAGTTTAAAACTGATTTCATGAACATGAATGCATAAGTAGACATAAGTGTAAAGACCCTCCAGGTCATTTCTCAGTAAATGCCACATTTTCATCATTTAGAGAGTTCTCATAGTGATCCTAAGTCATTTATGACTTGCTGATACTGATAGCTCGGTTACCTGGTCATCCATTTGGATTATGTTCAAGTTTCAGTGTCTTGGAGCTTTTGAAATTTGAACAGTTTACTTCGGTAACAGGTCCAGGAAGACGGCCTCCGAATGCAATTCTGGTGGTTCTATTAGCTCCAAAATCTCATCACACCCTTCTTTCCAAATCTCATCACACCCTTCTTTCCAAATCTCATCACACCCTTCTTTCCAAATCTCATCACACCCTTCTTTCCAAATCTCATCACACCCTTCTTTCCAAATCTCATCACACCCTTCTTTCCAAATCTCATCACACCCTTCTTTCCAAATCTCATCACACCCTTCTTTCCAAATCTCATCACACCCTTCTTTCCAAATCTCATCACACCCTTCTTTCCAAATCTCATCACACCCTTCTTTCCAAATCCTTTCCAAATCTCATCACACATCACACCCTTTATATGTGATATTTTCATGTACACCCAATCATTAACATCGAATTCAAACTCTTTCTTTCTAACATCCGCATAAGACGTGTTTTTACTTTGAGCCATTTTCAAACGATCCGAATTAGTCAAACCTTTTCTATAGCCTCATGCACCAACTCGGGCTCTATCAGAGTGACCTCACCAACTTCAAAACAACCACTAGAAGACCTATACCTCCTACCATAAAGAGCATTAAATAGAGCCATTTGGATACTTGAGTGATAACTATTATTATACGCAAACTCAATCAATGGAAAATGATTATCTCAATTACCCTTGAAGTCAATAACGCATGCCCTTAACATTTCTTCCAAAGTCTGAATGGTACGCTCGGCTGGACAATCACCATTCAGATGAAAGATCGTACTAACCTTAACTTGGGTACCAAGGCCTTTTTGGAAAGAGCTGCAAAACTGAGAAGTAAAATTTGTACCTCGGTCCTACATAATAAATAAGGGCACCCCATGCAACTTAACCATCTCTCAGATATACAACTTAGCTTAATCCTCAGTTGAATACAAAGTCTTTACGGGAATGAAATGTGCCGACTTTGTCATCCAATCCACGATGTCCCAAATCAAAGCATGCTTCCTCCAAGTGCGGAGTAAACTGATAATGAAATCCATATTCAAGTCTTCCCACTTCCAAGTAGGAATACTAATGTCTTGAGTCAAATCTCCCAAGTTTTGAAGCTCAACTTTCAGTTGTTGGAAATTTGGACACTTAGCCACAAATTTCACATTATCCTTCTTCATCTCATTCCACAAATAGAGCTCCCGTAGATCACGATACATCTTGGTGGCTCCCGAGTGAATAAAATACCAAGAACTGTGAGCCTTTGATAAAATTTGTTGCCTCAACTCATCAACATTCAGAACACATAGATGACCTTGATATTGAAATACACCATCTCCCTCTTGGGAGAAAGCCTCAATGTCCTTTCTATGCACTATTTCCTTCCACTCTACCAAAGTTGGGTCAAGGTCTTGCTTTTACATATAACACAAGAGATGATTCTGAACCATTCTAAACAATGTGCAACCATCCTCGGAATAAACCAAGCTAACAACCAAAAGACCAAGTCTATGAACATCACGAACCAATTCCTATTGCCTATCTTTAATTTGAGAAACACAACTCATCGTCAATTGTCTGAGAGTAATGATAACCACGTTTGCCTTACCCTAATGGTAAAGAACACTCATATTGTAATCCTTCAAAAGTTCGAGCCATTTTCTTTGGTGAAGATTCATAGTCTTTTGCTTGAACAAATATTGTAAACTCTTATGATCGGTGAACACATCCACATGGACACTTTAAAAATAATGTATCCAAATCTTCAAGGCAAACAAAACTATCGCCAACTCCAAATCATGAGTAGGGTAGTTCTTTTCATGCACCTTAAGATTCCTCGATTCACAAGCAATTACCTTACCGTGTTGCATTAGAAGAAATCTAAGTCAATTCTCGAAGCATCAAACTATACCACAAACCCATTGGAACCTTCTAGTTATGTCAAGATTAGGGCTGAAGTGAGTCTAGTCTTCAACTCTTGGAAACTTTTCTCATACACTTCCGACCATAGGAACTTTACCTATTTATGAGTCAACATAGTCAAATGCGAAGTAATAGAGGAAAATCCCTCAACAAATCTTCTATAATAACCGGTCAAACCAAAGAAACTCTGAATATTCAAGGGGAAACATGTCTAGGTCAGTTCTTAACTACCTTAGTCTTGTTAAGATCAACCTAAATACCTTCTGCGGAAACAATATGGCCAAGAAAAGCAACAGACGTCAACCAAAACTCACATTTGCTAAAACTAGCCAAGAACTGACAATTCTTGAGAATTTGCAAGACAATCCTCAAATGATCGACATGATCATCCTCATTCTGAGAATAAATCAAAATATTATGATAAACATATAAATATATTGCGTGAACACTCTATTCATATGATTCATGAAAGCCATCAAGGCATTAGTCAAGCCAAATGACATCACCAAAATCTCTTACTGACCACATCGAGTTTGAAAAGTCATCTTCGGAATTTCAGTTTCCCTTACCCTCAATGATAATACCTTAATCAAAGATTAATCTTTGATAAGAAACTAGCACCTTGAAGTTGATTAAACAAGTCATGAATATGATACTTATTTGTTATCATGACCTTTTTCAATTGTTGATAATCAATACACATACAAAGAGAACCACCTTTCTTAAGAACAAACAAAACTAGAGCATCCTCGGGCGAGATACTCGTCTTGATGAAACCCTTATCCAA